CTTTATAGATTCTGGTTATTAGACCTTTGTCAGATGGGTAGATTGCAAAAATGGTTTCCCATTCTGTTGCCAGTTTACTCTAATGATAGCTTCTTTTGCTGTGCAGAAGCTCTTAAGTTTAATTAGATTCCATTTGTCTATTTTGGCTTTTGTTGCCATTCTTTTGGTGTTTCAGTCATGAAGTCCTTGCCCATGCCTATGTTCTGAATGGTATTACCTGGGTTTTGTTCTAGGGTTTTTATGGTGTTAGGTCTTATATTTAAATCCTTAACCCATATGGAGTTAATTTTTGTATAAAGTATAAGGAAGGGGTCTAGTTTCAATCTTCTGCATATGGCTAGCCAGTTTTCCCAACACCATTTATTAAATAGGGAATCCTTTCCACATTGCTTTTCTTCTGTCAGGTTTGTCAAAGATCAGATGGTTGTAGATATGTGGCATTACTTCTGAGGCCTCTGTTCTATTTCATTGATCTATATCTCTGCTATGGTACCAGTACCATGCTGTTTGGATTACTATAGCCTTGTAGTATAGTTTGTAGTCAGGTAGCATGATGCCTCCAGCTTTGTTCTGTTTGTTTAGGATTGTCTTGGCTATGCAGGCTCTTTTTTGGTTCCATATGAAGTTTAAGGTGATTTTTTTCGCAGTTTTGCAAAGAAGGTCAATGGTAGCTTGATGGGGATAGCATTTAATCTATAAATTACTTTGGGCAGTATGGCCTTTTCATGTTATTGTTTCTTCCTAACCATGAGCATGGGATGTTTTTACATCTGTTTGGGTCCTCTCTTATTTATTTTTCAAAATTAAAAATCAATTGATGGTTTAACAAACTTTCTCAGGAAGCTAAGAGTCAAGCTGAGAAATGGCATCTACTAAAATATACATAAAATGTTATTCTTAATGGTGACAAACTGTTGGTCTGAGGGGTGTAAGGCAGAGTGAGAGACCAAGGCAAGTTTTAAAGCAGGAGTGAAAGTTTATTAAAAATTATTAGAGTGAGAAGAAAAGGATGTAAAGTAAATGTGGAAGAGGGCAAAGTGGGTAATGTGAGAGATCCAAGTGCACTATTTGACCTTTGACTTGGGATTTTATAAGTTGGCGTGCTTCTGGGGTTTGTGAATCTTCTCTCTCATTCTTCCCCTGGTGGGAGAGACTGTCAGTATGAGCAACGACTTGCCAGCACTTGGGAGGCCCTGCATGCACTGTGTGTTTACTAAAGTTAAGTCCATGCTCATTTGAAGCATTTTTCCCTCTAATGTTCTAGTATTCCTAAAGGATGGTCATACACCAATTAAACTCCACCATTTTGCCTCAGTGCACTTAAGCATTTGCCAAACTCCTTAAATCTTATCAGGAAGCTGCTGACCACCAGCTCTGGTGTTTTCTATTTATTAGGAGACTGAGTTTCTCACCAGCCATGATCAATTATTATCTTAGAGAAACAGTTGAACAATCACCTGACCATCACCTACCTGATGGTTGCCTGACATTCCTGGGGATGGGGACCTCTCTTTCTTTGCTCAAGCCTTCTTAACTACCTATTCTAACATTTCCCCCCTCAATAATTCAAGACTCAACTTTTTGGGAAAATAGACAAATATCAGAATCTTTTGTAACTGTTTCCTACTGACAAGGAGGTGGTGGTGCTTATTCTGTGGGTCTCGGCCTCTTGATAGCTCTCAGAACAGGGTGGCTCTGTGAGTTGGCAAAAGTGGTATCCAGACAGAACTGAGGGAGACAGGGGTAGGATTTCACCTCTGTTGTGTCCCTCTGATGGGTGGCCTAGGAGTCCTCAGTAGAAGGGTGACTTTCAAGTATTGAAAGAATAATCTCTCTCACTGAGGATCATCTGGAGCTTGTTGGCCTGAAGGCAAGAGGAGACAAATTAGTTATTAGATTTAGGAGACATGGACCCAAAGAGCAAATGTAAGAGACTAAATGAGCCTAAAAGAAAGACAACAGAATAACCAGTTCAAGTTTTCTTCCCAACTTAACCAATCCCAAGAGGCTTCTTCCTATAAACTCGAGACTTGATTTAGGAGTTGTCTGATGTTATCTTACACTTTTCTCTATTGATTTACCCAAAAGCAACATTTTTTTATCTAAGACTAAACAAAATTCTTTCCTGTACTGCCATTAACATATCTAGTCCTTGATAATTCTTTAAGACAATCACTGCTAAAGAGTCTATTCATCCTTGCATAATTAAGGTTTTAGCCATGGCACCAATATTGTTGGCTATTTCCTTTTAGAGTTGGCTACAGATTAAGGAGGTTTTTGTGATTCCAACAATTCCAGTTCCTGTACCAGCTATTATGCTGGGTCCCACAAGTGAGGGAATTAATTGAATAATACTTCTCACCCTGGGAAGATGGAATGGCCATAAATTGGTACTGGAAGAGAGAGATTGCCAGGGGCTATTTAGATGTCAGAAGATAGATAGCCTGTGATACAGGCTCTAGTCCAGTTAGTGAGGAGGCATTGGTAAACTGATTGGTCACAAATAGAGAAAACTCTTTGGGTTTTAAAACAAGTCAAGATGTCAAAATAGGGAAGTTTCAGGATACATTATCAATGTACAAACATTCTTATACATATATAGCATTTCTATACACCAACAACAGCCAAGCCAATGACCAAATCAGGAGGAAAATCCCATTCATAATTGCCACAAAAAGAATAAAATACCTAGAAATACAGCTAACTGGGGAGGTAAAATATCTCTAAAATGAGAATTACAAAACACTGCTCAAAGAAATCAGAGATGACATAAAAATGGAAAAACATTCCATGCTCATGAATAGAAAAAGTATAAAATGACCATACTTCCCAAAGCCACTTACAGATTCAATGCTATTCCTATCAAACTACCAATGACATTCTTCACAGAATCAGAAAAATTGATTTTAAAGTTTATATGGAATCAAAAAAGAGTCCAAATAGCCCAGGCAATACTAAGCAAAAAGAACAAAGTTGGAGGCATCATGCTATCCGACTTCAAACTATACTATAAGGCTATAGTAACCAAAATAGCATGGTATATCAATAGAACAGAATAGAAATCCCAGAAATAAGGCTGCCCACCTACAATCATCTGATCTTTGACAAAGCTAAAGGCATCACAATACCTGACCTGAAACTATACTACAAGGCTACAGTAACCAAAACAACATGGTATTGGTAACAAAACAGATATATAGAACAATGGAACAAGACAGAGACCTCAGAAATAACACCACAAATCTACAACCATCTGATCTTCAACAAACCTGATTAAAAAAAAGAAGCAATGGGGGAAAGAGTCCCTATTCAATAAATCGTGCTGGAATAACTGGCTAGCCATATGCAGAAGATTGAAATTGGACCACTTCCTTACATCATATATGAAAATTAACTCAACATAGATTTAAGACTTAAATGTAAAGCTCAAACTATAGAAATCCTGGAAGAAAACCTAGGCAATGCCATCCTCAAAATAGGAATGGGCAAAGATTTTATGACAAAGACACAAAAAGCAATTACAACAAAAGCAAACATTAATAAATGGGACCTAATTAAACTTAAGAGCTTCTGAACAGCAAAAGAAACTACCAACAAAATAAATAGCCTACAGAAGAAGAGAAAATATTTGCAAACTATTAATCCAACAAAGGTCTAATAACCAGCATCTATAAGGAACTTAAACAAATTTACAATAAAAAAGCAACCCCATTAAAAAGTAAGCGAAGGGCATAAACAGACATTTTTCAAAAACAGACATATATGTAGACAATAAGCATATGAAAAAAAGCTCAATATCACTGATGATTAGAGAAATGCAAAGCAAAACCACAATGAGATACCATCTTACATCGGTCAGAATGGCTAATACTAAAAGGTCCAAAAATAACAGATGCTGGAGAGGTTGTGGGGAAAAAGGAACATTTATACATTGTGGTGGGAGTGCAAATTAGCTCAATCATTGTGGAAAGCAGTATGGTGATTCCTTGAAGAGCTGAAACATAACTACCATTAGACCCAGCAATCTCATCACTGGATATATACATGGAGGAATATAAATCAGTCTACTATAAAGGCACATGCATGCAAACGTTCATTGCAGCACTGTTCACAACAGCAAAGACATGGAATCAACCTAGATGCCCATCAACAGCAGATCAGGTTTTCTTCCTGGAAGAAAACCTAGGCAATGCCATCCTCAAATAGGAATGGGCAAAGAAAATGTGGTACATATATACCATGGAATACTATGCAACTATAAAAAAGAACAAGATCATGTACTTTGTGGGAATATAAGCTGTTGTGGGAGTTGGAGGCTATTATCCTTAGAAAACTAATACAGAAACAGGAAAAAAAGAATCAGATGTGCTCACTAACAAGTGGAAGCCAAATGATGAAAACTCATGAACACAAAGAAGGGAACAACAGACACAGAGGTCTACTCAAGGGTGAAGGGTGGGGAGGAGGAAGAGGAACAGAAAAGATAAGTATATGTGTACTAGGCTTAATATCTGAGAGATGAAATAATCTGTACAACAAACCCCTGTGACATGAATCTACCTATATAACAAACCTGCACCTAAAATAGAAGTTAAGAAAAAGAAAGAACTTTAAGCCAAAGGAAAAAAACTGCCTTTGTAGATGATATTGAGGGACTGTGTTAAAGAAACTTCTCTTTCCAGGTCTGTTAGGGGAAGGGTTTCAAATGCAGGAATTTCCTGGCTCTCCACCTCAGGCAGCTGGGACTCTTTGAGCACCTTCTCTAAGTGGGCCAGGCAAAATTCTTTGTCTGATCTTCCCACATGTGAAAAAGCCAGGTGGGGCTCTTTTGTCCCAAATTCCCACAGAAAGCTCTGGGAGGAGGGGACTCTGTAACTCAAGCTTGTAGAACAAGTAGCCAATCCAGGATCAGAATCAAAGATTAAAAAAAAAAAATTCACCCCAGAGGCAGTTTGAAAGAACTCCTCTCATTGGATGAGAACATGAATGGGGAGGGAATACTCTTTGGGTCCATGATTTTATTCAGAAGGTAAACTCCCTGTGCCTCTGGAGCCCCTTTCCCCATTCTTCAGGGTTAGAATGGCCAAGAACCTACAAGCTGGGTACTCCCTGGGTAATATCTTTTGGCAAGCCAGCCAGGAGACATTGAACTACAGAGCGGTAAGTGATATTGAATCCCTTTTGCTTGCTAATCTGTCTTTTTCCTTTTTTAAAATTTATTAAGGAGGTGGAAGCAGGGTGACTATTGGCCATTTAAGAGTGACTAGCATGGCTACCAGACTAAAAACACAGGTGTCAGGCTTTCTGGGAAAGGGCTAACAACCCCTGGCTCTTCAGAACTGGGAGTATTGGTTAGACCCAAACCAGCTTCACTTTCTTACTGTTCCTTCTTTCTGTGGCCCAAGCTGAGGGTCAGTAGGAGGAAAGGGCAGTGGTCCCAAACTCCTGGTTCAGTCTGGTTGAGGTTGCGGCTATGCTTAGACCCCGTAAGAAAAAGCCACCTATACCAGCCATGCCCAGCCTTTCAGACGCCAATCTCCTGGATCCAGATATCTGTGAGGCAAACTTCTTTCCGACCCTTTCCTCTAATATATTTCCTACGCATGAGGCTATTACCCTTCTTGCTAGGACTTTGAGGCTCTTGGGGTGGCAGTCCAGGGACCCTTGCTCATAGTGCCCTCAGGCTTATGCCTATGAGGACCTCCTACAGTATAAAATACACAGGGCCAGTTCCCTTAGTCCTCTGTGCTAGGTTATGTCCTAACAGAACTGGAGTCTATCAGTGGGTACTGGAGGCTTTAGAACATTGTCACCTGCAATTTCTCAATCCAACTGAATGGTGCCAGAATCTGATAATGTACATTTGTCTTGCCTAGGATTGGCTCTCCATATGGGAAAATTTCTCCATCTAGAATACCATAGTCAGAGCTTGTCCCAGGCTCAAATAGTTAATTACAGGCTCCACAACCCTTGGGAATATTTCTGTAGAGGAAAGTGGGGTTGGGGAGAAGTCCTGGGTCCCAAGGATATTGTTCTGGCCTCGGCCGTGCAGCCAACCATTACCTTCTTTAAGATTGTGTACTTAGAGGCCTTTCTCAAGGAGTTTATTCTCCTGGGGCAGTTTTATGGTCAGGCCTATGTTAATTGAAGTCTTACTAGGGAATATTGGCACCCATCACCCAAGTCTCACTGGCCTTGTTCCTCAAGGACATGCCAGCAGTCCTCGTGTCTGTAAGGTGGCCAAAATGGACATTAGACAGTGAGGGTGTGCCCCTAATGCTGATAAGCATGATTAAACCTGGCACATGGGGGAGGCCCGGAAAATGGTCACACATCTAGGGCACAAGGAAAACTGCAAGGTGCTGTATAACTGGGGGACACCCTAGGGCTATCAGTTGCAAGGAATAACCAGGGATACAGGCATCCGTGTGTTCAATTTCAGATGGGTGCTACTCTTCCCAAGGCAAAATCACCCTTAAAATGTATCTTGGATAACTGGGATTAATTTGACCCATAATCTTTGAAGAAGCAGCACATTTTTTTCTGCCACAATACCCTCTGCCAAGTGGAGAAACCTGGCTTCCTAAGGGAAGCATAAGTTATAACACCCTTCTACAATTAGACCTTTTCTGTAAGAGGGAAGATAAATAGATTGAGGTCCCCTGTGTGCAAGTTTTCTTTTCTTTAAGGGAGAATCCTCAGCTATGTAAGGCTTGTAACCTATGCCCTACTGGCCCCTCCTCAGAACTACCCCCATATTCAGGACTCCCTGTGGCTCCTCCCTCCACCGATACTGACCAGGTCTCCTCAGCTCCTCTACCCCAAGAGGAGTCAGGGAAGGCCAAAACTGCCAAGGCACCTCAGGCTACTAGGATGCCCCAACTCTGCCCCCTACAGGCAGTAGGAGGAGAATTTGGCCCAACCAAAGTACATACTCCCTTTTCACTTTCTGACTTAAAACAAATCAAGGCAGACTTAGGAAACTTTTCAGATGACCCGGAAAAGTATATAGTTGTTCTGCAGGGCCCGGGTCAGTCCTTTGAATTAGATTGGAAAGATATCATGTTATTGCTTAGTCAGACCCTAACCAGCAATGAGAGAGAGGCTGCTCTAATAGCTGCTCAGGAGTTTGGAGACACCTGGTACCTTAGTCAACCACATGACCCAATGACATCAGAGGAGAAGGATAAATTCCCTACAGGTAGACAGGCAGTCCCTAGCATGGACCCTCACTGGGATCCTGACTCAGAACATGAGGACTGGAGTCGTAGGCACCTATTGACTTGCATCCTTGAGGGATTAAGGAAACTAGTAAAAGCCCATAAACTATGCGGCGTTATCCATCATAACTCAGGGAAAGGAAGAAAACCCGACAGCCTTCCTCGAGTGGTTATGGGAGACCTTAAGAAAGTGTCACCAGACTTCAAGGGTCAGCTAATACTAAAAGACAAATTTATTATGCAATCAGCAGCTGACATTAGGAGGAAGTTCCAGAAGCTAGCCCTGGGGCCAGAACAGAGTCTAGAATAGTTACTAAATCTAGCAACCTCGCTGTTCTATAGTAGAGACCAGGAGGAACAGGCTGAAAGAGACAGAAGGGACAAGAAAAAGGCCGCAGCCCTAGTCATGGCCTTCTGGCAGGCAGACATAAGGGGCCCGGAAAAAGGAAAGGCCTGGGTTAGCCTCCAGTCTGGCAGAGTTTGCTACCACTGTGGACTACAGGACACTTTATGAAAGATTGTCCCCAGAGGAATGGACCACCTCCTCGTCCTCACCCACAGTGCCAAGGGGATCACTGGAAGGCACACTGCCTCAGGGTATGAAGGTTCCTAGGGCCTGAGGTAGCCAACAAGATGACCCAACAGCAGGACTGAGGGTGCCCAGGGCAAGTGGCAGCACAAGCCATCACCCTCACTGAGCCCCAGATAACGCTAACCATAGAGGGCCAGGAGGTCTATCTTCTCCTGCACACTGGCACGGCCTTCTCAATTTTGCTTTCTTGTCCTGGATGGTTGTCCTCCAAGTCTGTAACTATCTGAGAGTCCTAGGACAAATAGTCTCCTGATATTTCTCCCAGCCCCTAAGCTGTAACTGGGGAGATGTGTTCTCCTCCCATGCCTTCCTCATCATGCCAGAAAGTCCCACTCCCTTACTAGGGCAGGACCTGTTAGCCAGAGCAGGAGCCATTATCTATATGAACATCAGGGAGGACATCCCTCTCTGCTGCCCATTATTAGAAGAAAGGATTACTCCTGAGCTTTGAGCAATGGAGGGACAATTTGGGTGGGTAAAGAATGCCTGCCCAATTCAAATAAAGCTAAAGGATTCCACCTCTTTTCCTTACCAGAGACAGTACCCCCTAATACCAGAAGCCGAAAAGGGGCTACAGGATATTGTAAAGAACTTAAAAGCTCAGGGTCTAGTGAGGTCCTGGAACAGCCCTTGAAATACTCCTATTTTAGGAGTACAAAAATCCAATAAACAAGGCTAATAAAAAATCTAATGAACAAGATCTCAGGCTCATTAAGGAAGCTATGGAGTCCTTTTCTGGTCCCTTTACACCCAGCTATACCCAATCCATACACCTTTCTCTCTCAAATACCAGGAGATGCACAATGGTTTACAGTCCTGGACTTTAAAGATGCCTTTTTCTGTGTTCCATTACATCCTGACTCCCAGTTTCTGTTCACCTTTGAAGACCCTTCAGACCAGAATTCTCAGCTCACCTGGACAGTGTTACCCCAGGGCTTTTGAGATAGCCCCCATCTGTTTGGCCAGGCTCTAGCTCAGGACCTTAGTCATTTTTCACATCCAGGTACCCTGGTTCTTCAACATATGGATGACTTAGTTTTAACTGCTAACTCAGAAACCCAGTGTCAGCAGGCCACCCAGGACCTGCTAAACTTTCTAGCCACCTGTGGATTTAAGGTTTCCAAATCGAAAGCCCAATTTTGTAGGCAAGAGGTAAAACACCTAGGGCTGGTCTTGTCTAAGGGCACTCAGGCCCTTGACGGAGAACGTCTCCAACCCATACTGGCCTTCCCCCATCCAAAGACCTTAGAACAGTTGTGGTGATTCTTAGGAATAACTGTTTCTGCCAATTGTGGATTCCCAGATATGGTGAAATACCCAAACCCCTATACACTCTGATTAAGGAAACCCAAAAAGCTAACACTCACCTAATACAATGGGACCCTATAGCTGAGGCCGCCTTTCAGACCCTGAAGCAGGCCCTGCTGCAGGCTCAAGCTCTAATCTTCCTACAGGGAATGAATTCTCCCTCTATGTTACGGAAAAGTCAGGAGTGGCACTGGGGGTTCTGGCCCAGAATCGGGGGACCACACCACAACCAGTGGCATACCTAAGTAAGGAAATTGATGCAATAGCAAACAGCTGGCCACACTGCTTGTGAGCCGCAGCCATGGTGGCTCTATTGGTCTCAGAAGCTGTTAAAATAGTGCAGGGGAAAGATCTAACTATATGGACTTCACATGATGTAGCTGGAATTCTGGCTTCTAAGGGAGGCTTATGGCTGCCTGACAACCGCTTACTCAAATATCAGACCTTAATGCTCGAAGAGCCTGTGCTTCAGCTGCACACATGTGCAGCCCTCAATCCAGCTACATTTCTTCCTAAGGAAGGGGCAGACAGAGAACATGACTGTCGGCTCAAGAGGACCTTTTAGAAACTCCTCTAGCCAATCCTGACCTTAACCTATATACTGACAGAAGTTCATTTCTGGAAAATGGAGTTTGAAAGGCAGGATATACGGTAGTCGGTGACCAAACAGTGCTTGAAAGGAATTCCCTTCCTCCTGGAACTAGTGCCCAGCTGGCAAAACTAGTAGCCCTCACTTGAGCTCTAAACTTAGGAAAAGGAAAGAGAATAAACACACACACACAGATTCCAAACATGCTTACCTGGTTTTGCACACCCATGCTGCCATTTGTGAGGAAAGAGAGCTCCTAACCTCGGCAGGAACGCCCATTAAATGTCATAAGGGAATTTTAGACTTATTACAAGCTGTCCGAGAACACAAAGAGGCATCATTCTGACACTGCCAAGGCCACCAGAAAGGAGATGAGAAGGAAGCAGAGGGCAATAGCCGAGCTGAGCTAGAGGCAAAAAGGGCAGCCAGACGAGAATTTATAGAAGGACCTTTAATATGGGAAAACCCTGTCCAGGGAACTAGACCTCAGGACTCATCAGAAGGGGTAGAGTGGGCAGTCTCCCAGGGACATAATCTTCCTTCAGAATGGCTAGCTACTGAGGAGGGGAAAGTGCTCCTACCTGCTGCCAGCCATGGAAAGTACTGAAAACCCTACATCAAACCTTCCATAGGGGCGTAGAAAATACATACCAAATGCCCAAATCTATATTTACAGAAAAAGGTCTCTTCATGGCTGTCCAACAAATAGTCAGAGGATCTGAAATATGCCAGAAAAACAATCCTTGGACACATCGCAGAGTTCCTCTTGGGGAAGAGCTAACCGGTCATTACCCAGGTGAGGACTGGCAAGTGGACTTTACCCATATGCCTAAGTCTCAGGGATGTCAATATCTGTTAGTATGTGTAGATGCCTACACAAACTGGGTTGAGGCTTTCCCCTATACAACAGAAAAAGCCTAAGAGGTAATAAGTCCTGATTAATGAAATGATTCCTAGATTCAGACTCCCTTGCTGTCTTTAAAGTGATAACAGCCCTGCCTTCAAAGCTGCAGTGACCCAAGGAATTTCCAAAGCGTTAGGAATACAGCATCATCTCCACTGTGCTTGGAGGCCTCAGTCCTCAGGGAAAGTGGAGAAGATGAACTCAATTCTTAAGAGACATTTAAAGAAATTGGCACAGGAAACCCACCTCTGTGGCCTTCTCTATTTCCAATAGCACTCTTTTTTTTTTTTTTTTTTTTTGAGACAGAGTCTCGCTCTGTTGCCAGGTGCCAGGCTGGAGTGCAGTGGCGCGATCTTGGCTCACTGCAACTTCCGCCTCTGGGTTCAAGCAATTCTCCTGCCTCAGCCTCCCAGGTAGCTGGGACTACAGGCACATGCCACCACGCCCAGCTCATTTGTTTTGTGTTTTTAGTAGAGATGGGGTTTCACCATGTTGGCCAGGATGGTCTCGATCTCTTGACCTCGTGATCCGCCCACCTTGGCCTCCCAAAGTGCTGGGATTACAGGCATGAGCCACCGCACCCAGCCCCAATAGCACTCTTAAGGGCTCAAAACTCTCCTCAGAAAATAGGACTCAGCCCTATGAGATGCTTTATGGACAGCCCTTTCTTACTAATGATCTCGTATTAGACAAGGAAACAGCAGATCTAATAAAAGACAGAACCTCCTCAGCTAAGTACCAACAGGCTCTTAGGACCTTACCTGAAGGGCACCCCAGGGAAAAGCAGAAAGAGTTGTTCTGCCCTGGAGACTTGGTGCTTGTTAAATCTCTCCCCTTAGACTCTCCCTCTCTAGGCCCATCGTGGGAAGGACCATTTTCAGTTATTCTGTCTACCCCAATGGCAGTTAAGGTGGTGGGAATTGACTCGTAGACTCACCACAGTCGGCTGAAGCCTTGGACACCTCCTGAAGAAAGTCACAGGCCCTCCGCTCCACAGCCTGAAGTTCCAGGAGACAGCCCTTTGTACACCTGCGAGCCTTTAAAGGGTCTATGTTTGCTCTTCCAATGAGATCCCCAGGAAAATAACTGCTCATGAGTGTGACTTACATCCTGGCATTAACAGGACTATCACTCTTAACTTTACTATTTGCCACCAGACACTATGCAGTCGCCCCCACGAATTGGCCTACATCTCATAAACTCTCCTTATCCGCGGCTTACTGCCTAATGATACTTCTAATAGCTCTCCTCTTCTCCCTCCGACATTATCACTCCCTTACCATGACATCTCTTGTGGTTCTCATTATCCTCTTTTTAGCCCCACTCCTCCTGTTAACTCACACACACCCTACATGTAACAGTAGGGTTACATGCTCATAGTACTAGCTAGTATCTTCCTGGAAGAAGTGCCCATGATTTCTCACTCCACGACCGGTTCTTGAGGTACTGTCAACCACCTCCTTCTTTCATCTCATATACGTATGTGCACAAACATTTTTATACCTCTGCTTCCCTGTGCACATACCACTCACACACCTACTGGACGGGAACAGTAACTGGGCCAAATTGTCCAGCTGCTAAGAAAACCACCACCTGCTGGACATGTTTTACCCATGTCGAAATGTCAGATGAGGTGAAGTTCAAGATCAGGCATAGGAACAGTGACATCAGGAAGTAGTCTAGTCTAAGCAGACTTCAAAGTAACCCCAGTCCCCACAAGGGCCTGGATCTTTCTAAGTTACACGAGATCCTTCGTACACACTCTCATATACTCAGCTTATTTAACGCCACCCTCACAGGAATACATGAGGCGTCTTCCAACAACCCAACTGATCGTTGGACGTGCTTTCCACTACTCTTCAAAGCGTATATCCCGGTTCCAGTTGAATAGTCATGGAACACAACTAACTCTCCCACAAATCATACGGGGCTTGTAGGTCCATTGCTCACCAATCTACAAATTCCATCTACCTCAAACTTCACTTGTGTAAATTCTACTAACAACTCGAATGCTTCCCTATGCCAAAACTGGGTTGCCTTACTCCCAGGCCTCAACTGCCTAGCACCGGGCTTATTCTTTATGGCACCTCAGCTTATGGCTGCCTGAACAATACCCCTGGGGAAATATGCCTCCTCTCCTTCCTAGTGCCCCCGTGACAATCTACACCGACTCTCAGGTGCAGAGTCTTCTCTTGCCAAGGGCATGCCATATGCAAATCCCAATTCTTCCTTTTATAGTGGGGCTGGAATAATAGGACTTGGTACTGGCATTGAGAAATTACTACCTCCACTCAGTTTTACTATAAGCTATCTCAGGAGTTAAATGGTGGCATGGAAAAGTTTACTGATTCTCTTGTAACTGCAGAAGCAGCTTAACTCTTTGGCTGTTGTGGCTCTTCAAAATAGAAGAAGGGCTCTGGATCTGCTAACAGCAGAGCGAGGAGGAACCTCTCTTTTTAGCAGAAGAATGCTGCTACTTTGTAAACCAGTCAGGTATGGTCTTAAACAAAGTTAAAGAACTGAGGGACCAAATCGAACGCAGGGCTAAAAGCCCTCAAGAAACAGGATAGTGGAGCTTGTTTAACAACTGGCTGTCCTGGTTCTACCCTCTTCTAAGCCCATTTATAACCATTCTATTATTGCTGGCAGTCAGGCCTCTCATCTTTAACCTTCTTTTCAAATTTGTTTCTTCTAGAATTGAGGCCACGAGGCTACAAATGGTCCTGCAAATGGAACCCCGGATGTCCTTGGATCACGGACCTCTGGATTGACCTGCACCCCTGGAAGACTGCCTCTGGAGGAAACCTCAACTGCAGGGCCGCTTCTACGCCCCAGTTCAGCAGGAAGTAGTTAATGAGTGATCAACGCCCATGTCCCAACAGCAATTGGACTTTCCAGTTCAGAAGGGGAACTGAGGGACTGGGTTAAAGAAACTTCTCTTCCTGGGTCCGCTAGGGGAGGGGTTTCAAATGCAGGAATTTCCCAGCTCCTCACCTCAGGCAGCTGGGGCTCTTTGAGCACCTCCTCCACGTGGACCAGGTAAAATTCTTTGTCTGATCGTCCCGCTGCAGGAAAGCCAGGTGGGACTCTTTTGTCCCAAATTCCGCAAAAAGCTCTTGGAGAAGGGGGCTCTGTAACTCGGGGTTGTAGACCAAGTAGCCAATCTGGTATCAGAGTCAAAGGTCAATCACTCCAGAGGAATTTTGAAAGAACTCCTCTCATTGGACAAGAACATGAATTGGGAGGGAATAACTCAAGGGTTAAAACTTCAGCTTCTCCTACCTGAAGGGATATCCCTCTCTGGGTTCTCTTTCCATAACAGTGTGGGAGCTGTCTCTCTCTCTCTCTCTCTCTCTCTCTCTCTCTCTCTCTCTCTCTCTCTCTGTCTAATAAATCACTCTTCCACGAAACTCTTTGGGTCCACAATTTTATTTGGATGGTAAACTCACTGCACCTCCAGGGCCCCTTTCCTCATTCTTCAGGGTTAGAGAGGTCAAGAACCTACAAGCTGGGTACTCCCCCAGTAACAATATGGTTCTTTCTACAGAAAATCCCAAGGAATCTCAAAACAAACAAACAAAACCCTCTTGAAATTGATAAGCAGTTATAGAAAGATTGTAGGATACCAAAGTCAATTGCTTTCAGTTCTATCTCTACAATTTCCTATAAATATATATAGTTACTTCAAAACAAAACCAAAAAAATCTTAAATGGAAAAATGAAGTACTCCCATAAACCACAAATATCTGTAATCTTGCTTGGGTTTGATAAATAAGTGGTGATAACTTACAAAATGACAACAAGAATTGCTGTTCTCTTTGGGATATATCAATGGGAGGTAAGCCAAGGGATCCACAAAAACACCTGGAAATGAAATAATTTATTTGAATATTAACTTATGCTGAATCATACACACACATACACACATGCATACTCAACTGTAACCTCACCTTTTAAATAAAATTAGTATTAACATTTTGTTATATTTTCATCCAGTATTGTGTGTGTGCTAAAAATGAAGAACTCTAAGACTTTACTGTTGATAATACCTGCAGAGTTTTTTTAAACAGAAACCTCTGGCGACACTCCAGAGTTTCTGACTCGGTAAATCTAGGTGGAGTGCAAGAATTCGCATTGCTAACAAAGTTCCCAGGTAGTGCTGATAATATTAATATGGGGAACATGCCTTCAGAATGCTTGACAAACACTATAATTCTCTTATCTTTGTTTACATTCCATAATATATTATGAACCTGCTTTATTGTTGATCTTCAAAAACATAATTTTAATAGATTTAAAGGTTTCTAATGTATTTCTGTCCTGTAATTTTAAAATGTTTATATTTTTCTGGAGCTCCAAAGGAGCAAAAATTACAGCTCCCTTTTTCTTTCGGTCTAAATTTTGAATTAATTGAGAAAATAAAACTATATAGTACAGCAGAAGATCAAAATATCATCTTTATTAAGGAACAACTCTCTGATATTGGTAAGTGTGCCCAGTATCTACAAGCAAGTCAGCTTCTGAATACTAAATTCAGGAATTAGGCTAAACCTTTCCATTCCAGCACTGGGAGTCTTGCACCATCATAGATTCCCCTTGATGGAATACACCCAAAGGCAGTTTGGAGCATATGTGGGCTGCTTGATTCCCAAGAGAAGAATCCATGGCTATCTCCATCAAGATTAGGAAAAGAGCAACCTTTCAATACAGTTCTACTCCACTTTCGTGAGGCTGTTCCACAGCACCATGGTTTAACACAAAGTCACATAAGATACAACAGGTGAAAGAGCTAAGGACAAGCCACCCCAAAATATGCTGCTTTGACATATTAATTATTTCAAGTTGAAGACACTTGAGAAACAGCAAATGCAGGAAGAGTCCTCTGATGGCTCTTTCTACTGAAAACAAGACACAAATTTTTCCATGAGAAAGATTCCCTCCCTGTGTCAGGAAGAGAAGGATACCCTTCACACCAGACACTGGGAATCAATGCTGTACAAACAAACATTCTAAAATAACCCTTACCCTCCACTAGCTTTATTCCCCACACACCATGTATCTCCTAGTGACTCTCCACAACTTACGGCTCCTAAACACTTTTGTCTTGTCATTTCTTCACAAATGTGTTGTTTAGGTCAGAAACAGATACCCCAAATTCAATGTGTTAACAGGCTGAACAGAAGAAGCCTCAAGGCTTCTCTGACCTTCTCCCTCTGCTGTCTCTCCCAAGGAAGGTGAAGTTCCTTTGTCCATACCTACTTCCCCTTCCTGTAAGGCCACAAATGTGACCACACCAGAACAGACCCTTTCACTGTCAAAAAGAACTATCTACTGTCAAAAAGAAAAGCTACTCTCAGTTCCAGAATCCATTCACTCTCCCTCATAATCCTTAGTGGCCCCTCAACGGAATTCCTCTTCTCCCCTCTCCCATAACCTGCTTGTCAGGATGTTACGTAAGCTTCTAAACCCCATTGCAAGGGGAGTAGTCACCCTGCAGTTCTCTCCATGTGCACTTTCTGTCCATATCGCATGAAGGTAGTTCACTTGTTAAATAAATTTGCGTGATTTTCTCTTATTAAGCTGTCTCGTATCAGTGATTTTTCAGTGAGCTTTCCCTACAGTATCATTTCTTCATTTAAAAGATATAAAAGCTTTCTGTTCTCGTCACTTGTTCAGGTCTTTGTCCTCTTAGAAAGATCCCCATATATGTGGTGGCTTATGCCTATAATCCCAGCACTTTGGGAGGCAAAGATCGGTGGATCACCTGAGATCAAGAGTTTGAGACCAGGCTGGCCAACATGGTGAAACCCTATCTCTATTAAAAATACAAAAAAAAAAAAAAAATTAGCTGGGTGTGGTGGTGGGTGCCTGTAATCCCAGCTACTTAAGAGGCTGAGGAGGGAGAATTGCTTGAACCCAGGAGGCAGAGGTTGCAGTGAGCCGAGATCGCGCCACTTCATTCAGCCTGAGTGCTGGAGCAAGACTCTGTCTCAAAATAAAAAAGATTAATAAAGTTTGCATGCTGTTCTCTGTTGATCTGTCTTACATTGGTTTCATTTTTAGACTGAGCTGGAGACTCTGCGAGGATAGAAAATTTTTTCCTCTCCCACACAGGCATAGATTTGAATAGAATCCTGCTTCCCAAGCTGGTGAACCCCCAGCTCCTTTAGAGCTAGCTCTAGGGATGGATGTGTTCTTTATCATCCAATTTAAGATTAAGTTCCTGTAACTCAGATTGGGTTGGGCAGAACAAACGTGGCTATTGACAAGACAGGTGGTTTCCAAGACAGCCTGGGAAAATTTCTTTCTGCCCCACTCCCACACCTGAAACCTTCCCTACCTACTCATTGGCCTTTTGCCAACATCAAAGCCTTCACATCAGGATACGAGTAAAGATGTCACCCTACTCCATCCACAAGTTAAAAGAAAAGAGCAATGAAAACTGGATACTATATACTTTCTGTTAACAGAAATGGAAAAAAAAGGACTGAGGCAAAATTAATATAAGTAGAGAGTCTATTGGGGCCACATTTGAGGACTGAAACCAAGGGTCATAGATTCAAGTTGCCCTGAATATACACTCTGATTGGCAGCAGTTACAAGTTTTTTTGTTTGTTTGTTTGTTTTGTTGTTGTTGTTTTTTGAGATGGAATCTCACTCTGTCACCCAGTCTGAAGTGTAGTGGCACGATCTCAGCTCATTGCAACTTCCGTCTCCCGGGTTCAAGCAATTCTCCTGCCTCAGCCGTCCTCGTAGCTGGGATTACAGGCATCCACCACCACTTGCAGCTAAATATTGTAATTTCGTTTTTTTTTTGTTTGTTTGTTTTTTGTTTTTTTTTTTTGAGAGGGAGTTTCGCTCTTGTTACCCACGCTGGAGTGCAATGGCGTGATCTCGGCTCACCACAATCTCCGCCTCCTGGGTTCAGGCAATTCTCCTGACTCAGCCTCCCGAGCAGCTTGGATTACAGGCACGCACCACCGTGCCCAGATAATTTTTTGTAATTTTTTAGTAGAAACGGGGTTTCACCATGTTGACCAAGATGGTCTCGATCTGTTGACCTCGTGATCCACCCGCTTCGGCCTCCCAAAGTGCTGGGATTACAGGCTTGAGCCACCGTGCCCGGCCGTAATTTCGTTTTTTTTTTAGTACAGTTTGGGTTTTACTATGTTGGCCAGGCTAGTCTTAAACTCCTGACCTCAAGTGATCCACATGCCTCAGCCTCCCAAAGTTCTGGGATTACAGGCATGAGCCACCACACCCAGCCTCAAGTTGATCTTTTGTTTTGTTTTGTTTTTTGAGACAAGGTCTCACTCTGTCACCCAGGCTGGAGTGCAGTGGCACAGTCACAGCTCACTGCAGCCTCAACCTCCCAGGCTCAAGTAATCCTCCCAACTTAGCCTCCCAAGTATCTGGGACAACAGGCAAGCACCACCACATCTGGCTAATTTTAAACTTTTTGATAGAGACAGGGTCTCACCATGTTGCCCAGATTGGTCTCCAACACCTGTGCTCAAGCAATCCACCTGCCTTGGCCTCCTGAAGTGCTGGGATTATATGCATGAGCCACTGCACCTGGCCGCAAGTGAGGTTTTAAAGGGAAAAAAATGAGGCAGTTTCTATGTTGTTTACCAAGATGTTCTTAAAATAACATAAACTATTGATTGGCTATACGTTGTTCTTTGTATCACAGATTCCAGGAACATGAAAATAATGAGTGAGGCAGCTAGTCAGGCACAAAATATCTTTAAACAGACATGGGTGCAGAGTGGAGGTGGGGGTGACTGACGTCCTAAACTCATGTTTCTCTGGGCCTTTGGGCCTGATAAATCTTGTATACTTCACATGAATCATACTGCTCGGAGCTATTTTTTTTTTCTCATTTCCTAAAAGCAAAATCTGATGGACAGCATGAAGGTCTTACACTCTAGAAAGAAAATTCAGTCATTCTTTCAATAATTATATAACCACCCAGCAGTTTCTCCTTACCTACTGCCCAGATAAACCAGTTTATCAAGATGGGGGAATTACAATCGAGAAAGAGTTTAATTCACACAGAGCCAGCTGAATGGGAGACTGGAGTTTTATTAGTCAAACCCATGTTCCCAGCTATTCAGAGGCTAGGGTTTTTCAAGGACAGGAGAGGCAGGGGAATGGGTGCTGCCGATTAGTTGAGGGTGCAATCATAGGGGTGTGGAGCACGGTCCCAGTGCACTGAGTCTGCTTCTGGGTGAGGGCCGCAGGACAAGTTAAGAGTTGAGGGACCAGGCAGGACCATCCATTCATCAGAAATGAAAAACCCTGAAAAGATGACTCAAAAGGCCAAATTTAGGTTCTACAATAGTGATGTCATCTGCAGGAATAACTGAGGACACTGATTTCCAGAGTATGGCTAGTCACCATTTATACCTACATCAGCCTCCTCTCAGCCTCCTAACCTAATGGTCTTAGTTTACAAAGGTGGTTTAGTTTGGGAAAGAGCTATTATCATTTAAACTATTACTAAATTTCTCCCAAAGTTAGCTTGGCCCAAGCCCAGGAATGGCCAAGGTTAAGGGTAAGATGGGGGTTGGTTAGATCAGATCTCTTTCTGTCATAATTTTCTCACTATTACAGTTTTTGCAAAGGCGGTTTCCATTAGGTGTTTGTTATTGTCTGGCACTGTGTTGGGGATAATATGCACAACAAGGCCAATCCCTGCTCTCTGGAGCTTGTGGGCTGAACATGAATCTTTGAGAGCTCAAAGTAAGGAGGTGCGTTCAGGAGATCTCACTGGCCAAAAGCAAGAGCATGTGCAGAGGTCCTGCAGTGGGAAGGAGCACAGGGCATTGCCTGGAAATCTAAGACCACACCAGGTGAAACATAGCAAAAGGGAGGGAGATTTGAGGCAAAATGAGGCTGCGAGACAGACTGGGCAGGGACTAGTAGACTATGTTCAGGAATTTTAGCTTTAGTCTGACAGTTTTGGAAAACCACTGAAAGGTT